ATAATAATAATAATAATAATAATAATAATAATAGTGGGCTGGAGAGATGGCTCAGTGGTTAAGAGCACTGAATGCTCTTGCAGAAGACCCAGGTTTGATTCCCAGCACCCACATGGCAGCTAACAACCGTCTGTAATTCTAGTTCCAGGGGAATATGCCGTCATCTCTGACCTTCACAGGCATTGCATGACATGGCTGCATACATGCAATATGCTCGTACACATAGACTGAAAATAATAAAATATTTTAGAAGAAGAATAATGGTAAAACTTGCATTCTGCAGGCTGATCTCATCTTTATGATATTTTTCAGAAAATATTTTCAAATTTATCTTGCTTTTGTCGTCATAATGTGAACACTTCCTAACTGCTCTTATATTTTTGCCTTGATTATCTATTTAGAGCAAGGAAAATCAAGTCCTTTAGTCAAATGCACACTTGACTTCAAACTACTTTTAACTACCTTAAATCAGAATTTAAATAACAATCCTGTGTGTGTTTCTTATTCCTGAGTTTTTTCGGTTTTATTGAATTTTTGCAATTTTCATACAGTATAGTTTGATAGTATTTAGACTCCATCTTCTCTCTGTGCCCCCTCCCACTGCCCCTGCCCAATTTAATGTGCTCTCTTATATATATAATATGGCCATGTAGCGTCTGAATTGTGTCCACAAATACCCTTCAGTGTGGGTCCAGCCACTGGGCCGACCAAGAATCCCATCCCTGTAAGACACTGTCTCCCTCCCAGCAGCCATCAATTACCAAGAGTTCCTTAGGTTAGGTTGGGATTTCTTACCCACTTCCCCATGTCTTCACTGGGATTTTTCTGGTTTGAGTTTGCATAGGACTTGTGCCTGCTGTCACTATTGCAGGGAGTTCATATGAATAACTGACCAGCTGTCTGGAAGACTCTGTTTCCTTGTGGTCATCCATCTCCTTTGGCTCTTGTGGTCTTTCTGCCTCCTATTCTGCAATGATCCCTGAGCCTTGGGAGGCAATATTTGAAATAGCTGTCCTATTCAGGGATAAGTACTCTATGCACTCTTGTTCTCTGCACATTGGTCAATTGTGGGTTTCTATGTTAATCACCATCTCCTGAAGAGATTATTTTCTTTATCTGTGGAACCAATCATGGGTTTTCTCTATTTTATAAATATAGTGAATTACATTAATTACTGAACGTTAAGCTAATCTTGCATTTCTGAACAAATCTCAGTTGACTGTGATATGCTGCATTTTTATGTATTGTTGGATTTTTTAATTTATAATATTTTCATGATGCTTTTCATGCCTACATCCATGAGGGGTATTTGTGTCATTTTCTTTTCTTGTAATATCTCTATTTCCTGAAGACTGCATGGAATTGATGTGTTATCCTTTCTTCCTTCTCTCCTTCTCTCTCTTTTTCTTTTCCTTCCTTCCTTCCTTCCTTCCTTCCCTTCCTTCCTTCCTTCCTTCCTTCCCTCCCTCCCTCCCTCCCTCCCTCCTTCCTTCCTTCCTTCCTTCCTTCCTCTTTCTTCTTTCTTTTCTTTCCCTTCTTTCCTTCCTCCCTCCCTCTTGCTACAGGGTATCACCTCAAACTCTATATAGCCCAGCTGACTTCAAACTCATGACAATCCTCCTGCCTCCAACTTCTAAGTGCTGGGAGGATTATAGGGTACTCATTACTTATATAAATGTTTGATACAATTCATCACCAAAGACCCGAACATTTAGTTTTCTTTGTGGGAAGAATTTTTATTAAAATTCTGGGTTTTTGGATAGATACGGGGCTACTGAGGCTCTCTATTCCTTCTTTCATTAGTTTTATTGGAGTCACACTCCTAGAAACTTGCCCATTTTATCTATAATTGTCATATTGTGCATAAAAATTTTTACAGTGTTCCCCGGCTATTATTTTATTGATTTTTAAATTTTTTCATGTGTTGTGTGTATGGTATGCATGTATGCATATATGGATACCTACATGTGTATGAGTACATATGAGTATGTGTGCAGATGCATGTGCATTCTCATGTGTATAAAGGTCAGAGGTTGATGTCAGGTGTCTTCTCAGTAGCTTTCTGCTTTATATATTGAGGCTGGTTCTCTCATTGAACCCAGAACTTGCCAATTCAGCTACTTTAACTTGTCCTGAAAATCCCATTCCCACCTCCTAAGATTTCACATGGGCCTCTATGGCGCCCTGGCATTTGCAGGGGTGGTGGGTCTGACTTCAGGTCTTCTCTTTACCTACTGACTTATCTCCC